TTGCCGTGTCTCAAAGAAGCTCTTGAGAAAGCGAATCACGTCCGAAGTGCATGCTGGAGAACTCTGCGGTTGTAGTAGCTGAGACCTGGCTTTGGCCTTGGCTCCCCAGATCAACACCCGGTCTGGCGAGGTAGGCCCGGCACTATCGGCCAGATTCCACTCGGAAGGGCCCCCATTAGATCCAGGGTCGAAGTCCGGGGCTGATTTCCTCGCCGTTTGTGGCATCCCCTCGGCGACTGCTGAGTCCTCCGTGAGGTAGGGGCTGCATGGTGGTGGCCACTCCTCCTTGTCGACGGTTGCTTTTGTGCTCTGCAGGTCGTTCGGCAGGTGAAGGGCTGGGAGTGCGAGGCGGAGGAACCCTTCGTCGCGGAGATCTGGACCGTGCCTTGGCAGAGCTGGCCTTCGTGCGGCCCGGTGGAGGGCTCCAGGGCGACTGCAGGGCGGGGTCCTCTGTGGGTGGCCGTAGGTAGCGACCATTCGAGCCCTTCTTGGGTGCAGCTGGCGGCACCATCGTCCGTAGATCTTGGTAGCCAAGGAGGTATCGAGCACTAAAGATAGTGAGAGGAGGGGGAGCCAGTCGCCAGCGTAGCGACGGCTCGCAGCCGTCGTCCATTTCAGCTCGTGTCGGTCCACAGGGACGGAGGTTGTTCACCGACACGGTGTAGGTCCTCTTCTTCTCCTCCCATGTGCCTTGCTGCAGCCGAACACTCCGTGCATGAGGGTCTCCATCACGCCCCGGTATGATAAAGACTTTTCGTTGGAGCAGGTGAGGCCTTGTACCTCCAACGATGGTCGCCTCGGTTCCAGGGTCCAAGGGTTGTATCGTTGGCTCTGAAGAGGCGCGGTCCCTCGATCGTGCCATGAGCAGCCAGGCAGGTAGTGCCCCAGGGAAAGCAGACCAGTAGGGCCTGGTGGGATCCCTTAATGCAACGGTCGTGACATGGTCCTCAGAGCAAAAAGGCTGCACTGCAGAGCTCAATGTGCTTGGAAGATGGCGATCAGAGGCAGAGGGTGCATGTGGGTCAAACGGTGCAGCACTGGCGTGGTGTCTGTCCAGCGGTGACTCCTTAGCGGTTGAAGCTGAGACATGGACGAAGAGGCCTTGGTCTGGCCACAGCTGGATGTTGCCTTGTCGTTGCTCGATCCTGCAGGTGCATGGGAGCCAGGTGCAGTATTGCATACAGGCGCTGTCTCCTCGTAGAAAAGCGAGATGCACGACCATGGGAATGACCTGAGAGGGCAGGGCCAAAGGCTCCAAACAGCTGTTGGCATAGCGTTGCAGCATGGCAAGCCTCATCACACCTTTAGTACTTTTTGGGTCTGCCAGGGAAGAGCTGCTGACTGTGCTAGCCTGAAAAGCGTGCCATGGCTCATCAAGGGCGGGGGCAATTCCGCTGTAGAGCCGCCACCTCTCGCCAATCGTCATCATGGAGCAAGAAGCGAGCCACGGCTTCATGGTGCGACACTCAAGGATGTGGGCGGATGGTGACTGTGATGAGCCACCCCGCCGCCTTTGTGGTGATTGTCGCTGGGAAGACTCCTGGAATAGGCGTAGGCGTAGGCAACGGGTTTGCTGCCACTGGAGGTGGTCTCGGTGTTCCCATTGCTGCAGGGAAGGCCATCCATCCTGATCCGTTGCAGCAGCGAGTGCCGACATTGGTATCGAAGGGGTCGATGTCGGGGCTGTTGAGCTCGCCATGGGAGCCATGGTGGTTGCAGGTGATGGTGGCGGCGGTCCTGCCGGTCGTAGGGTGCTTGCCACGGTAGCCGGCGATGGCTTTGGAGGGCCTGCAGGACCTGCTGTCTTTGCTGAGACCATGCCAACACTTCCAGGTGGTCGCCTTGGTGGCCCGTTAACAGGCTGCGGAGGCGGAGGTACCGGCCATGACACCCGATGGAGGAACAGCCTCTGTATCCGTAGAGGGGCTAGGCGGACTGTCCGACGATGAGGTTGGCTCCACGTCGGCCCCTGATTTCGCCTTGGCTTTTGGCCGTCCCGACCGTGATCCCGCCCCTGCTGAGTGCCCACGTCGGTTGCCCTTGGGCGGCATGGTGCAGACTGATGTCTAGACCTTCCCGGGGCTTGAGCACCGAAAACTGCATCCAGAGCAAGCACATCTCTCTGCGGCAGTGAGTGCATGGCACTGGCTCGCAACTGTAGGCTGAGTCCCTGGCCAATGGTCCCGAGGGGACACCAGGTGCAAAAGGCTATTTGAGCCCTGGAGCCATGGTGGGGCAGTAGCAAGTAAAGAGTCCTCTTGCTCAGTCGGAAGTGCGAGCAGGGACACAAGGAATGCAACCATCATGCGGCCTACAGCCATGTTTGGTTGGTGGCCCAGAAAACCGTCTAGTGCACCCGTGACAGCTAGGAAAGCGGAGGCCCAAAGTTTTCCACAACAGCGCAACAGTTCTGACCATGCTGGAGCCAGGGCTTAGTAGTAGTAGTAGTAGTAGTAGTAGGTAGTAGTAGTAGTAGTAGTAGTAGTAGTAGTAGTAGCACTAGCTGCAGCTGCACAGACTTACGACACGTGACAGCCAAACCGAGGGCGACTGCTCCGGTCCCACTAAAAATGCCACCGTTACTGCGACTGCTCATGCTACTGCTACTGCTGCTGCTGCGACTGAAACTGTTCCTGCTTCTGTTCCTGCTTTTGCTCTTGCTCCTGCTCCCGCTACCATTCCGCTGCTACTGCCACTGCACCTGGCACAAATACAGCACTGGCAGAGGAGAGTCTCAAACAAGGGGTTCTGGGCTGAGGAATGCAGCCCGGGGCAGGTAGCCATCAATATAGTCTCTAGCAGGGTGGCGAACCTGCGAAGCCGTATGGGATATCTCGAAGCAGCACCAAACGCAACCAACAAGACCCGAATTCGCACCGGTGCTCTCCAGGCAGCAGTCTCATCCCTCTCACGTTCGTCTTGTCGCCAGCAGGCTTCGTGGAAAGCGGAGGGGATTGGAGCAACAGACACTGCCGCCGAACAATCGTTATCATCCCCAAAGCAGGCGGACCACGCGGCTTGGACCTTTTGATTCGCCTGAGCATTACTGATGTATCTAACTTCCGGGCAAGCAGGGCTGGAGCTGCCTGAACTGCTTTGAAAGATTCGATTCGACAGCTTCTGTGCAACTTCTTTGGTGCGTGTCGTGGTGCCAAGAACTGTCTAATAAGAACGGCAGATACTTCACCGTCATGTTCTGGCCACAAGCGTCAAGGACTGCATTGAAGGAAAGCTGGGTTCGCATTGAGAAACCTGCAAGGTACCAAGACCACGTCCGCGAAACGCTCGAATGGCCGATCCCTGGTGCCACAGGATGCATTTATTGTCCGAGAAGCTCACGTTTTTGTTGAGCATGTCTGGTCCTAGGAAGTCTTCGAGTTTCTTCACGTCATCAAACACGAAGTGATTCTCGTGCCGCACGCCCATCCAGACCCTGACTGCCTCAAACTCCTTCTCAAGAGGATGGCCGAACCTTTCTGGATGCTTTAACGTCACCACGTCTGCTCCAGCGGCTCCAGCAAAGGGTAAGGCATCTTGCAGAAACTTGTTCGAGTCGCACTTCGTGTCTGCATATGTTACCCGTTTTATGTAGGAAGGCACAAAAATGGCAATGCCACGCGAATCGCCTTCAGGGGATCAGCGAAAGGATCCTGGATGTATTGATTAAAGCTGATATCGACTCATTGAGGCAGTTGAAACTGCGGAGAAATGGTTACGATCCGATAGTCAAAACCAAGCAAAGACCCGGCTAGGGTTTCGAACTGCTTCCCCTCCCGCACGGACCTTGGCCATGCGCTGCCCCTCGTTGCTTCTCTTTTCTTGTGGTACTTCTGCCAAATATGCATCCGTAGGAAAAGGCATCAGCACCCATCCATTGGCGGTCGAGCTCTCTGATGCCAACGTGGAGGCGGCCCCATCACTGACAAGATATATGCCACAGCCGGCTTGGCCGGCATAGGCACGATGGGCGAGCGAGCCCCAACCATTTTGCAAACCCTCTCCTGGGCACTTTCGACCTTGAGGCATGTTGTTTCATGCGGGTCGGCGACCAGATCACTGTGGGATTAAGCGTTGGGGCCGTTAGGGCCTTGGCGGTGAACAACACGACCGCAGTGCCAACAAAGCTCTCCCACACGAGAGTCCTGTAGCAATGGTCTGTGGGTCGACAAGCTCGACACCAAACGAAGGAACAACTCAGCGCTCGATCTGCTTTGGACAGGCCCCGGGTGCTCAGCCTCACCGAGGGGCCAAAAAGAGTGGAAGCTAAACCAGCAGCATAAGCAAGGGCCGTGGAGAAGCATCAGCAAGCTGTGCACGACACAGACGTGCACAGAGCAGGGGTGGGCCAGGGCATGAGTCGTGTGCTTCCTCCATAGCCAGGAAGCGGCAGGTCGCAGACCCAGAATCCGAGCTTCTCTGATCGAAGAAGAGACGAGGTCTTTTTTGGCACTGAAGACATGGCAATGCTGTAATAGAGACGAGGTCTTGGCCATAGCCGAGTCCTGGAAATCAAAATCTTAAACATCCTTAAATGACGCTCCTTTGCAACACCTCAACCCTTTGCCGACATGATAGGTTTCAGATTGATATGTGCATAAATACTCGAAGGCCATGCTACTCAAGAAACAACCTGATCGTTCGCATTACACGAAAACATGCACAAGAAACAAAATGAAGGCCATCACACTCACCTAATGGACAGGCGGATGGCGTGGGTCCATGTACAAGCAGATGCCGTGGCCAAACACCTGGCCGACAGATGACATTGGTGTGTCGATGGACCCCAGAATTTTCGTCACACTCGACTATCCTGCGCCGAATCTCAAGCGTCACATGATTCACATCGTCAAACCCGTCTATCCCTACCTCGCTGCCTGCAGGTGGTGTGTTCTCGATTGGAGAGCGGTACGTGCATGTTCTTCCCTGTCGACGCAGAGCAACATTCGGCTGCTCTTGAAACTCTGACCCATTGGCCACCGGCTAATTTCCAAGCCTAGTTTTTAGAAGCCTCTCTTTGAGAGGCAGCTCTCAATGTCTTTGAACTCGTGCAGGTCCTCACTCAGTTCAATCCAGTCCACTACGATGGGGAGCGTGAAGATATTGAAAATGGCAACACACTTCTCCTGGCTTGTTTCTGCTAAGCTAGTAGCCAAAAACAGAAGAGTGCTACAGTTCCTGTCTGGCATAGAACCTTGCATAGAAAGAGAAATTATTTAAGCACAGCTTCGTTGAGCAGGCCAGCTACCCAGGAGTAGGTACTGGGAGCAGTGACAAGCAGATCGGCCTGAGCCATATGAGCCCAGTCTCCAACAATGTCACCATCCAAGTGAACTTGCACGCCAAGGTTTCTATAGACATCGAAATCTTCGCTTGTGGTGTCACGCTCCGTTGTGCTGAAGACATGAATCTCAGCATTCTGCATATGCTGCCGGAGCAGTCTCAAGAAATTCAGGTATAAGGCGTCGGATGCATAGTGCTTGCTGTTCACATCCTTTGCAGAGCCCTGTGGAACTCGATCCCCTCGGCGCATATGAATGGCAACCTTCATGCCGTTCCCTTCGAAGTAAGGTGTAGAGTGCGTCAAAATCAAGGTGGACTTTCGCAACTCTGACAGAAACGATGAGGTGAGAACCGCCTGATCTCGGCACTCCACGCCCCTGCACTCCTCCAGAAGGATCTCCTGGCCAGCGAAGCCACTACCAAGCGTATCTACTCCATTCCAACAGCGATCAAACTGGACATTTTCGGCCTGCACAACCAGGTCCGAATAGTTGCAACCTAGGAAAGCGCTCATGGCTGCCGGCACATCACCTGCATGAAGTGTATGAGGTTTGGATAATGCCGGTAAAAAACCTCCGAACTTCATGTTGTTCCGGGCTGCATACGCCAAGCTCAACACGGTTTGTCCGACACGACTGCCAGCCCAATCGTCCCTCTGTACAGCGTACATCGTGGTGGACGGATTCTGTGCGAGCTGGCATAATTGACATGCCGATGCCGTCCGCTTTGAGTGGGCACTGATCAGCAAGTCGGCCTTTGGTGTACTGATATCTACGCCTCTCTCGGCAACCATCTTTGCACCATGAACCCTAAACTCAGTCGCGCGCAGCCTGCTGTTTGTCGGTCCTCATGCAGCTGTAATCCTTAGAAGACGCTGTGCCAAAGCTCACCAGGTTGTATGAACATGTATGTATGTATGTATATATATATATATAAATGCTGAGATTCTACTGCGGTATGTCCTCCACACTCGGAAACAACAGGGCCAGCGTAAACCACTCCATGAAGCCGGCATGGTTGTTTGCCTTTCTGCTCCTTTGACAATTTCGGCTAAATTTGGTTGTGAAATCAGTGCACTGAAAGGACGAAGTATCGAAATCCTCCATTGCACCCCAAGACGCGTGGAAACGGCGACAATCGTTCGTTTTCGGACACCACGGCTTCATCGCAGAAGCGACGCTTGAAGAGTCATTTGCCTCCACGGCACGTTTCAGTCGGGATGGAAGCTCATGTGAACATCTAACCTCTGCCTTCTCTGTCTCCGCCCATGACCTCTCCAACCACAAGTATCTACTGCAACCCCTTTGGAAAGGAAACACGAATTTCCAGAACCCGTGCCCCTGCCCCGACAGGAGACTCTGCGCCAGCAGACGTGTCCGATCTGTTCGTCTTGGCTCTGGAACCTCATCGAAGTAATGTCAAGCCCCACTTTTTCAGGGTTCCATATTGGGATAAAGACGAATCACCAGACAAAGTGGATGGCAAAATTGCACGGCAAGGAACAGCACCTTCAGTCCGAAGCTTTCACTCCGAAGCTTTCACGCAGCTTATGTTTGACGTTCCAATTCGACGAAACGCAACTTGCGCACTTAGGGACAACTTTGCATACGGCGATGGAAAGTTGAAGTACATCTTCGCCACAACCGTCAACAACCAACATTCAAAACCAGCGACAAACATCAAGCAACAGGCAAGCAACAGGCAATGCACAAAAAACAGTCAACCAGCACCGAAGATCCAACAATCAGACAAGCAAACATACATATGTACATACATACATACATACATACAGACATACATACATACATACATGCATACATACATACATGCATACATAAATGCAGGGACCCGGGGAAGTGGGTCCCGGTTTCGTACCCCCCCTGAAGCTTAAAATCTGAAGCTGGCATTCGGCGCCTTAATTCGATCGGTGCTGGCTGAGGCCGAAAATTGGCTGACGCTCGAATTCGGCGCCGATACTCGATCCGGCAATCGAAGCTTCACCAAAGGCCGACGCCTAAGTTGCTCTTGACGCCTACATTCGGCGCTGATTCTGTACCTGCGCACAGCGACGGGCTGTCATCAGCTCCGTGCCTGCAGCCGAAAATGTGCCTGAAGCAGAAATTCGGCGCTCGAAATCCCTGAAGCTTAAATTCGGGCTGCTGCCAGTCTGAAGCCGAAAATGTGCTTGACGCCGAAATTCGGCGCTCGAATTCGCGGAAGCTTAAATTCAGTCAGCCCGAAAATGTGCGCTGAAGCTGAAATTCGGTCGGCCCCAACCTGAAGCCGAAAATGTGCCTGACGCCGAAATTCGGCGCTTGAATTCGCTGAAGCTTCAAGTCGGCCTGAGCGGAGGCTGACGCCGAAAATGTGCCTGACGTGGCAAGTCGACACGTGAATTCGCCGAAGCTGAACTTCGGTCTTACCCCATCCTGAAGCCTAGAATGTGCCTGAAGCCGAAAATGGCTTTCGAATTTGCCTGAGCGACAGCAGCCCGACGAGTTGAGGCCACGAAGCACATCCATTCGTGAGGGCATGTGAGAAACCGCGGCATCAGTGTGACAAACCCGGCCAGCGACTCCGGAAGGTACCGCACTGATGGAGCGCCGCTGATATTTAAATCAGAAAACTTATAGATCCATGAACTTCAAGAAGAAGCTGGCAATGATGGCGTGCCCCTGTTCTTTTAAATCCGAACTCGTATAGATCTTGAACTCGGAGGATACAGCAGTGCGCTGATGGCGCACCCCTGATTTTACCAACAGAACTCTGCTAAATCTTGACCTCTGACAATAAGGCCTTGGACTAATGGAGCGCCCCTGATTTTTAATCAGACCTCTTACAGATCTTGAACTCCGAGGGTGGGGCTTTGGACTGATGGGTCGCCCTAAATTTTTATGGTAAAACCTTGAAAGATCTTGAACTGGGAGTGATGGGCGCCCCTAATTTCTTAAATCAGAACTCGTATAGTATAGATCTGCAACTCCGAGGATAGGGCCTTGGATTGATGGGGCGACCCTGATTTTTTCAAGCAGAAATCGCATGGATCCTGAACTCCGAGGGTGGGGCCTTGGACTGATGGGGCGCCCCTGATTTATCCAAAAACAACTCTTATATAGGTCCGGTACTCTGAGAATAAGGCTTTGGACTGACGGCACGCCCGTGATGTTAAAGTCAGAATCATTACCGATCTATCGCTCCGAAAGTGGGCCTTGGGCTGGTGGGTCGCCCCTGATTTTTAAGTCAGCGCCTTTTTGAAGATCTTGAACTCCGAGAAAAGGCCCTTGAAGTGATGGGGCGCTTGGACTGATGCCGCGCCCCTGATTTCTTAAAACAGAACTCTCATAGATCTTGAACTCTGAGGATAGGACCTTGGACCAATGGCGCGCCCCTGATGTCTAAATCAGAACTCTTATAGATCTTGAACTCCGAGGATAGGGCCTTGCACTGATGGTGCACCCCTGTTTTTGTCAACGGAACTCTGATGGATCTTCACCTCTGAGACTAAGACCTTGGACTGATGGAGCGCCCCTGATTTTTAATCAGACCTCTTACAGATCTTGAACTCCGAGGATAAGGCCTTGGACTGATGGGCCGCCCTAAATTTTTTAAGGTAAAACCTTGAAAGATCTTGAACTGGGAGTGATGGGCGCCCCTAATTTTTCAAATCAGAACTCGTATAGTATAGATCTGCAACTCCGAGGATAGGGCCTTGGACTGATGGGGCGACCCTGATTTTTTCAAGCAGAAATCGCATGGATCCTGAACTCCGAGGGTGGGGCCTTGGACTGATGGGGCGCCCCTGATTTATCCAAAAACAACTCTTATATAGGTCCGGTACTCTGAGAATAAGGCTTTGGACTGACGGCACGCCCGTGATGTTAAAGTCAGAATCATTACCGATCTATCGCTCCGAAAGTAGGCCTTGGGCTGGTGGGTCGCCCCTGATTTTTAAGTCAGAACCCCTTTGAAGATCTTGAACTCCGAGAAAAGGCCCTTGAAGTGATGGGGCGCTTGGACTGATGGCGCGCCCCTGATTTCTTAAAACAGAACTCTCATAGATCTTGAACTCTGAGGATAGGACCTTGGACCAATGGCGCGCCCCTGATGTCTAAATCAGAACTCTTATAGATCTTGAACTCCGAGGATAAGGCCTTGGACTGATGGGCCGCCCTAATTTTTTAAGGTAAAACCTTGAAAGATCTTGAACTGGGAGTGATGGGCGCCCCTAATTTTTTAAATCAGAACTCGTATAGTATAGATCTGCAACTCCGAGGATAGGGCCTTGGACTGATGGGGCGACCCTGATTTTTTCAAGCATTTATCTAAAAACAACTCTTATATAGGTCCGGTACTCTGAGAATAAGGCTTTGGACTGACGGCACGCCCGTGATGTTAAAGTCAGAACCATTACCGATCTATCGCTCCGAAAGTAGGCCTTGGGCTGGTGGGTCGCCCCTGATTTTTAAGTCTGAACCCCTTTGAAGATCTTGAACTCCGAGAAAAGGCCCTTGAGGTGATGGGGCGCTTGGACTGATGGAGCGCCCCTGATTTTTTAAACAGAACTCTCATAGATCTTGAACTCTGAGGATAGGACCTTGGACCAATGGCGTGCCCCTGATGTCTAAATCAGATTGCCTTGCCCCAACATGCGGAACTGCATTATTCTCCCCAGCCTTACCCTGCCGCAGACCTTCGAGCTGGACCCCGCCTTCGCCAGGGTGTACTATATGGGAAGCCGTGGAGAGATGCGATGCGGCCTTCCCTGCTCAACCGTGCCTTTTTGTCCTTACCATTCAGCCTGTGGCCGCGAAATGCAAGAAGGAACCGTGGAGCACAGGGATAAGCATTCCGGCCATCAGTGTTCGCGCTGTAAAGAATTCACAGACCTTGGCCGAAGCCCTTTTGAATGGTTTTCCGCCGTACCCCCGCAGGCATCCTCGGGGTAGCCGTTTGCCTTAGCAGCCTTACACTCGCCTTTTGCAGCCTTCTTCAAGAATTGTATATCAGGTCAGCCAGCCTTCCTTTTGCTTTAGGCTCAGGCAAACGGTAGTTTCGGCCGCGTAGCCAGCCGCCATCGGCTTCAAAAAAGAGTGCTTGCCCGCGGTGCTTGCCGTTTTGCCAAACACTCAACGTTCTGTCCTTAATGCCTTCTCTTGCAGGACCACCTGGCTTACAGTGGCGCCCTCAGCTGTTGTGGCCTTCAGTTGTTTCCGAATGCCTGCCTTAGCCAATCATGGATCCAGACACAGACCCAGACGACTTAAGCAACCTAGAGTCATGGAGCCCGGTCAACAGCCTTCACAGCCATGCTCAGCAAACTGGAAGATCCTTGCCGGCTCCACTGTGGGCTCTCTCGGGGTTGCTGCACCCGGACGACGGGCAACAGACTGCCCCTCAGCCAGATCGAAGCAGGAGCCCCAGCCGGGAGAGCCTTGTGTCGCAGAAACCAGAACAAGCCTTCGTGGGCCGACGTTTTCGGAAAGACTCTTCTGCCTTCGCTTCAACAGTGAACCCTATCCCTGCAGGGCGAGACAGGCACGTCCTCCTGCCCCTGCAGTCGGTGCACAAAGCGCGACCGGGCCTGCCTCCTCCAGCCTTGCCGCCGCCCATACGCCCGGCCCCGCCGTTCTCAGTACACAGCCTCGCCCCGCTCGCTGCAGGTGCCCGTGC